TTCTGTTAGAACTCAATGATTATCCTAATTATATTTTAGATTAATTATATTTAAAATGAGATGTTTACTTGTATTTAATTATGTTTATCTGCAGTTAATTATACAGATTTAGATACGGAGATTTAATAAGTTGTACTTACGCAAAATCTGCTTGTAATCTTGAGTTTTAAGTAATATGCATTAATAAACAGTATTTTACGCATAAAAAGTGGTTTTTAAGAGTTTTTGTCAAATGTTTTATAATATAGTATAGATTACTTAAAATTTAAAACTACAAGTAAATTATGCGTAAGTACAACTTATTAAAGCTACATTTTTTAATTCATATAACTAACTACAGATAAAAATAATCAAATACATGATAAACATTTCATTTTTTATATAAAAAATCTAAAATATAATTAGGATAATCATTGAGTTCTAGCAGAATCATTATCTTTATAAAATTTTATTGTTAAGCAAAAAATAAATTACTTCACTAAATCATAAAAAAAACATTATCTTTCTCAAAATCACATATATCATATTATATCAACGAAGACAAAAAAATAAAACGAAACATTAAAATGAAGATATATCTCGCTGCATTGTGCAAGTATCCTTCTAGTATAATTAAATATATGATATTTAATATTATATATTTATATTATTTTTTACTTATTTATTAATTCAAGTAAAAGTTTTTTTATGTTTTAATGTATGGTGGATCTTTAAATTTGATGGTATGAATTTATGAAAGAGTCACATTAACCGAAGATGGATCTTTTGAAAAAATAATCTTACTTAATCTATAGTGCTTGAATTATCTTTTATTTAATTCGGTGTGTAATTGTTTTACATGTTATATTTGGGATTGTTTTTACATCGTAAATTATTTTTTTATAAATTCAGATAATTGTAAATCGAATTGTGGTAATAGCCTTATTTCGGCTCAGTTTGGTGCAGTGTAGTTCAACTTGTAGTTTGATTTCAATTCAGATAGTCACGTATTCGTCTCATACAGTTTGATTCATTCTTTCCCTACTCACCCATACGAAAACAAGCTGGTCTCACCTTATCTCATATGTGTGTATGAGTTTGGGTTCCGGTGAGAATGAGAGATTTAAAGTGAGAAGCGTAATAAAGGGTCTAGTGCATCTATGTGGATCAAATCAATCCTCGTATAAGCGTCATTCATAGGTGAGTTTGAAATTAATGGTGATCAAAAGTATAGAACCTAATGATTTTCATTTTAACTATCCTTTAAACACGATATTGCTTGCGCGAGCGTACGCACACGTGTGTGTGTATATATATATATATACGCACACGTGTGTGTGTATATATATATATATACACACACCCACCCACCCCCATGAATCGTTCAACGATATAATTCGATGCGAACAATATAATACACACCAAACGCAGAATTCCATAATCTAGATGGAAATCCATCGGAAGTTTCCAATCTTGCATTCAACGCGTCTGCTGTTTCCCATGTTAATTCACCAACTTGTTTTATATATATATATATATATATATATATATATATATATATATWCCTGCCACTTCTTTTATATAAACTTGCAGATCATCTCCTTCTCAAACACACACCAAACCCAAAATGGCTTTGAAGATGAACTTTGTGTTGCAGAAAAGCGATCATTTCATGCTTAAAAAAGATAGACAATCCATTAATGGCATCAAGGTCGCAACTATATCATGCAGAGCCAGATCCAGCGAATTGCCCACAATTAACAAAAAGAATCTGTACCAAGTTCTTTCATTAGAGTCCCAAACTGTTGGTTTCCATGAGCTCAAGAAGGCGTATCGAGCCAAGGCTCGTCAAATCCATCCCGACGTTGTCCCATCCTCCGTAAAGGAGGAATGCACGAAGAAGTTCGTGGAGTTACGAGAAGCGTATGAGATTCTTTCGGATCCAAATTCTCGAAGATTGTACGATTTGAGCTTGGTTGAATCGAAATGCAACTCGAGAATGGTGTGGGAAATGCAACTCGAAGGGCTGAAACAACGATCGGCCAATCGGTCGGAGAGACGGAATGATATATTTGTGAAGGGTTTATGATTAACGATACAATTGTTTTATTCGTTGTTATGCAAATCCTTTGAGCTCCATTTGAGGTGTACGGTCTTTTGTTCATTGGTGCGGGCCATTTTTATGAGCATGAAGAAACCCATTAATTAATATTAATTCCTATTCTTTTTTGCATTCAGATTATCGTTTCGTTATTTCGTATCCATTTTCGATCTTTTTCTTCGCCAATAATGTACGAATCTAACCAAAAGGCATTTGTCCTAACGGTATGTGAGTCTTTAACAGAAGTTTAAATCTCATAAAATGTAAGAGGATATGTGAGTTTATTTGTTCTATTTACCATATATAAATATTATATACTTAAAAAAATATTATAAGAATCTACATTGAGAATGTACATGTGCAATAAGTTTGACTACATGTAATAGTGACAATTGGTATTATTTGAGTAAAAGATTAATCATCGACAATTCCAATCAACCACAAATGTAACTTGTTATCTGGGAACTACATGTGAGGAGACATTTCATAATTGACTCAGCTGCTAAGCTTGATACAGATGTTCAAGCCAATCCGTCTTCCTCATAATTCGAATTTCAACTTGTTGTTATCTTAATAAAGTGATTCCATCCGTTTATCAGCTGATCTAATACAGATTAATAATCGGTAATATAAGGTGCTAATTTCAATATTCTTAATAAAATGTTTTATGTGCTTAAAAATATGTTTAACTTTTCTTTTAACGGAAAAAAACCTCCTCTCAATTTTTTCTCTCATTCATATTGTTTTCTTATTTTTAGTCTCTTCTTTTTCTCTCAGGGATGAGCACATTCGATATCTTTTCAATCAAGGACAGACTCAATTCAAAGCATATGGTGGTATCTGTTATCGTATTATTCATCCGTCATAGTGTAAAGAAAATTTAGGGTTGTGAAAAGTGTCATCGTATTAATCTGTTAAACTACAATGAACATAAAGTTTTTTTTAACAGAGTTGGTTTGCAAAACTTTTTTCCATTCAAGACCTGAGTTCAAATTCTATTGGTGCTATTTTCTTAGTTAAACTATAAGGGTACTCGCACAATGCAGCTGTATACATCTTGATTTTAATGTTTCGTTTTATATTTTGGGTCTATCATTATTAATATTATAATGCTATATGGTTCCGAGAAAAAGAAAATATTTTTATTTTTGAATGAAATATAAATTTGAAGATATCATATAATTTTGAAAAAAAAAAGTGATATTAATATTAAATTAACTATAAGTTCTCGTTTTTATGTAATTTATTTGATTCAAATTTTTATTAAAATTTTAATTAAAATTTAAGAATGAATTAATTTATTTTTGGTTTAATAATATAATTTTTTATAAGGATAATAATTAATTATTTTGTTACAAGTCAATAATTATCCTAATTATATTTTAAAGTTTTTATATTTTTAAATGAGATATTTATTCTCTATTTGATTATGTTTATCTACAGTTAGTTACATGAATTCAAACATGAAACTTTAATAAGTTGTACTTACGCATAATTTACTTGTAATTTTGAATTTTAAGTAATATGCATCAATAAACAGTACTTTATGCATAAAAAACTGTTTTTAAGAGTTTTTGTCAAATACTTTATAATATAGTATAGATAGTATCATCATTTATTTGAAAAAAATTCTTAGTTCAATGCATTACATATATGATGTTATTTCAAGTAGATTTTTATTTATTTATTTATTATTTTTGTATATTTTATTTGGTTTTTCTTCTTATGATATTTGGTTGAATAATGTTTATGAAATTTTATGCGTTTATCTTGATTTTATTATGAAATTACATATGTTACGCATAAATTAAACAAGAAATAGAGGAAAAAAACGTGAAAAAAAAAAACAAAAACAATCATAGACATGCTTAAAATAAAATCATCAATGCAGGCATCAATAATTTATTACACGTTTGACAAAAACACTCATGAATATATGGAAGACCAAATTAATAAAATAACAATAAAAAATATTAAAATTACTTTTGTTTTTGTTGTTTATGGTCTTACTCCTCACTCGACATTTATCTGTTTAAAATCAATTTCCGTACTAATTTATTTTTATATTTAACCTTCAACTTCTTGTTTATATCAAGTGGTTCATTATATATAATTAAATTTGATATAGAATGATTATAATTCATTTTTTAAATATTAAAATGACAAATAAAAGGAAAGAAAGAAAAAAAAGTCTTATATATTGTTTGATATCATTCTTAAAAGTTCAATTAGGAGACAATATTTGAATCGTTAAAAGATGAATCTTGTTTGACAAAAAAAAAGTTTGTCTCTTAATGGTTCTAAAATTCTCTAAGGGGTTGTTTGTTTTTAATAAAAAAAGCTCTTAATGTTCTCTTAAGTTTGAATCGGTCAGACATAAGAGGATTCAGTGTGTTTGTTTTTTTTTTCAATTAAGAGCTTAAAAGCTCTTATTAGGTCTGAAAATTTAAGTGGTTACGAAACCTCTTATTACCTCTTATTTCAAATTGTCGCCTACCTACTCTGATCTTTTTGCGCTCGATTTCTCTAGATCAACTCTTCTGTCTCGACCTCTCATCTCTCAACTTTGTCAACTGTCGATCCATATCAACTCTCGATCTCTCATCTTCAAACTTCAGATTTCAGACGCAAAAAACAAACAGTCTAACTGATTCAGATTTCAGACTTCAGCATCACCTCTAAAAAATCAGAAGTGAATTCAGACTTCAGCACCTCTTAAAAAACAAACGTCACCTAAGTGATTTTGTATCTTGAACATTTCTTAATCATTCAGCGTTCTAATTTCATTATGCACAATTACCAAACAATCATATTTCATTTTGCAATACACTATAAGAGTTCCTTAACTATTCTGACCATTTAATCATTCTATACTAACTATTTAGTAGTTGTCAAACAGCCGCTAATTAAAAATATAACGAAATTCTTATAGAGATGAACCAACTTTCGTCAAAAATTGTTCTAAGTTTGAAAATATTTGTTAATATGAAACAAGCTGATTTGAAAAAAAAAGAAACATTAATATTTAAAAGGCATACTAGTAATAACTTATTTTATTTATTATAGGTAACAATAATAAAAAAGAAAGTTAATTACATTAATGGTCCTTGTGGTTTATTAAGTACTTGGATTTGGTCCCTTAAATAAACCATCTATGTTAACGGTCCCTGACTTTTCAATTTCATAATATTCAAGGTCCCTGAAATTAACGCATTCCGTTAGTAATCGTTGTAAAGGATAAATCAATCTTTGGCAAATATCAAGGACCAAAAGTGTAATTTACTCCAAAATTAATTTTAAAGAAAAAATTTATTAATTTTTTATGTATCCAAACCAAAAATCAAATTTCTTAAATTAAAATACATATTAAATAAAAATATTTTATTTATTTAAAAATTTTCTTTCTTA